TCTCTCTATATATATATATATATCTCTGAAATAAGTATCATCAATTTTATTCATTTTTAATAAAATAAATTATTGCTCTAGAGAACTATTGACCACTTGTGTAAAAAATTCTTTTCTCTTTGATATTTGTTGTTGAATTATATAATTTTACATATATCAATAGATGGCACTGTCCCATTCCCATTATTTTATATATATATATATATATATATATATATATATATATACACACACACACACACTTGGGCAGCAATCCCACTTTAATACATGTTTTGTTAAACCAGACTGACCAGATACTTAAGTTTCTTAATCTTGTATATGAACATGTGTTTTCTTTGCTGAACTTAATGAATGTAAAAATTGTTCACACATTTGATGATTCTGAGCACTTTCAGCTAATCTATTAGTCATTTTAATGATTTTAGTTAAACTACAATAATAAATGACAAGTGTTACTATAGACCATATAAAAGTTACTGAAAATTAAACAATCTTAATTCTTGAATATAATTGTAATTATTTCAGGTGGTGCAGTTTTTAAGTCCTTCTGCCTTTAAGAGATTTTTTTTAATTATGTAAATTAAATGATTAAGTTTTTCAGCTTTAAGCTGAGATAGCGTAAGATTTCAATTTCATTTTTCTTGAGTGGTTCAAATTTCAGTTGCAGGCAGCAGTTTGGTCCTAAATTTAGATATTCCTTCTGATTTTCAGTTTAAGATAGGATAGGTTTATGGAATTTTCATTGGTACTGGGTAATAGGATATTTTCTTCGTATAAATTGCAAAATTTTTTAGTGCTGCAGCTATTTGCTAAAAAAACAAATTTTCGCCTGAGTGTTGTGATGTTAGTTTCCTTACTGGTAATACAGACTTCAGGAAAAGAAAAACTTGTCTTTTGTAGTTTTATCAAATTGTGTACAATATTTTCTTAACCAATGATATTACATTGGCAGACTTTAGACAAGAAGCTGAAAATGCATGTGCAGCAATCCCACTGGACACTTTGACCAATGTTTCCCAAGCAGTAATTTGCTGTACTAATAAATGTCTGGAAGCTAAAGGCCACCATTTTGAGCATCTCTTCTGATTGTCAAGTCTAAAAGATAACTTATATTAATATCTGAATAAATTTAGTATTACAATATCTATACAAGTTTCTAAAGTGTATATATAATTTTTTGGCAGACTGTGTGTGTGTGTAAAAGAAAGAGATCTGGAGTTGAAAAAGGACCCATCTAGGGAAAAGGAGAGACAAAGACAAAAAAGAAAAACCATCATGAGAGAGAGAGAGATAGATAGTGATGAAAAAGAGGACCCAGCATGAGAAAGGGAGAGACAGCGATGAAAGAGTACCCATTCATGAGAGAGAGCTAATCTTTGCCTTCATGGAAATGAGATGCCATTAATAGACCCCCTACTTTCCAAAGATTCAATGTATTTTTTGCTCCAATTTCTTTCCATAATTTTGAGAAATGGAAATCCATGCTATTTTTCACCTGATTGATTCCATTGATGCACCCTTAATACCCTTGGTATTAAGTGAAATGCTTTTCAATGCAAGTACAAAAGACTTGCCAGAAATTAAAATAGTTAGAAACAAAGTACTGCTCTTTTGCTTTGTGCTTACAGTTTTGACGACAGAGGAAACAAGACATTGATCAGCAAAAACAAAAGGTTATCCTTTGTTAAACAAGAGATCAACCTCAACAATAACTAAATCCTCACTACAGGTAAACTAGTGCAGCTAAGATCATCAACCCTATTACAAGGTATTAATAGTGAAAGAAAAAAAAGCAATAACAATATCGGGATTATCAATCTATACTCAATATTTTATACTAATTATCCAATGGAAATATTTTGACAGCACAATCAGCAAATATGTTAATTCTAGTTCGCTAATACAACATGACATACTCTGTTGTGATTGTAATTTTCAATAAATATTATGATAGCCATTCCTTTTATTGATAAAGATTACATGTTCTGATCAGAAACAACTTTCTCACCTTCTCAACATCTGTTCCTATTAAGCAGAAAAATTAATGAATATATGTTTCATATGCTGCTTTTGTTTTTCATTTCACATATATTGACAAGGATCTTCAGTTTCTAAAGTTAAGCGCAGGTTAAATAGCTTAAATATTCCAATATCCTACTGTGAACTCAACACAATAAAGCTTTATGAGTGGGAATAAAAATGAAACAGATGTGCCCAGATCAAACCTTGACATAATAGGCCAATAACTTCGGTCCGAATTTCTGGGGTGAGGAGTTAACCATTATATATACTATTTACATCAGGACTGGAGGTGCAGTGTAATAATGGATAACAGTTCAGATAGAGGAATCCGAGGGCAGAGTTTGAATTCCTGTCAAGTTCATTGCATTCCCTAGCGTGCTAAAAACATTGGGAAAGGTATGAATAGGAGGACAAACTGGGCCCTATAGCTTTGTTTGGCAACCAATCTAGGAGAAGGAAAACTCTGAATTCAAACCACCCGCTGTCTCAGAGTTTCTGCCTATTTAGGTAAAGGTAAGAAGAAGGTAACTTCTAAAACAAATCCACCTCAGATGTTGTCTCAAAGAAAGAAACTGCCCCACTATTTCAAGCCATGATAGAAAATAATAGGCTTTGCAGGCTTAGTACAATACTGGGACATGGCAAAGTACCATGGACCACTCTGATTTGCCCATGGGTGTATCACCTACAGCACTTTAGATGACAACAGTCTAGTGTCCTCATCTTTGTTGTTGTTATCACAACATTTTGGCTGTTGTGCCCTTCATCAGGTGTATGTTGATCCAGGTAACCTTCAGGCAATTGCAAACTGAACCCTTTATTTAACCTATAGGATTAAACTGTTCTTGTTCTACTGCCCATGCCTAGGGTATCTTGTCTTGTTCTTATTTTTAGTATTGTTCAGTTATAGCTCTCCTTTTTCCACTGAGTCCAAGTACACAGTGCCCAGCTTGATTGAACTCTTTTCTTTTTATGTGCCATGTCCTTTGAGGACGGAGGTAATCATGGCTCTCCACCTCCCTCTATCCCTTGCAGCTCTCAACAAGTTCCTTCCCTCTGCCACCTCCCCCAGACCACGTTCTGTCATCCACTTGCTTAAGCCCACTACATTTTATTTTCCGTGTTTCTCTTTCCCTCTATTTGACCTGTGAGTATCAGCTTCTCCAGGCCCTTCTTCCTCATTATGTGTCCCAGAAACTTCAGAAGCCTCTTCCTGATGTTAAGTATAAGCCCCCTTCTTGTTTGCATCCTCTCTAAGACCTCATTGTTGCTCACATGCTCGGTTCATATCCTCAGCATCCTTCTGTAGAACTACATATCTGTCACCTTGAGTCTCTTCTTCATCTTTGAGGAAATCGTCCAAAATTTGCTGCCATAAAGAAGGACTGATGTCATGTAACAGCTCAGTATTCTTTGTTATCAAAGAAATTCTCCTGTCTTGCAATACTCTGCCCTGCTTTTGGAATGCATCCTTCCTTAGCCATCCCAAAAATCTACAGATCTCAGTGTCACACTTACTGTTCTCTGTCCAAACACTTCCCAGATATTTGAACTCACAATTACAGTATCACCAAATTCACAAAGCAATGCTTTAATCCACTAGGTTATTGTCCTGTGGGACAATTCTCTGTTGCAGTTGAGGAAATTGTCTAGTATTCACTGACATAATGGTGAATAGGTATTACATAGCAGTGGCACTTTAGTGTAATTAATTACTCATTTTTTTCTGTAATTATTAACTAAACTTTTCATTGAATTCTTCCTTATATACATTCTGAATTATCTATTTGGCTTGCTTTACAAAAACAATTTTTCTTTCTAAAAAGTGTTTTGCTTAAAAAAAAAAAAAAAAAAAAAAAAAAAAGTATCTAATTCATGTTTGATTTTTATGAAGGTAAAGTATACTGGAGCCTAATAAAATTAAAAAAAATGTCTGGCTACAGTATTGCAGTCATTTTTACTGCCACATTGTTATAGCATTGTTGCCTGTCTGTGTTGGCCTATCTTGGGAAAAATAGGAAATTGCCCATTAGTGGCACGGTGGCATAATGGATAACAGCTTAGATTGAGGAATCGGAGAGGAGAGTTTGAATTCCACTTAAGTTCATTACATTCACTTACATGCAAATATCCTTGGGAAAGGTAATCATCCATTTTTTTTTTCCCTCTCCCCAGTTATGGGTAAATAGCAAGACAAACTGGGTCTTATAGCCTCAGGTAGCACCAGTCTAGCAGAAGGACAACTGTGAATTCAAAATTTCCAACTTACCAACCTGCAATTGGCCAAACGTGGTGAGTGTGGCTACACCCCTGAAGACATGGTCACTCAAGAAGGGGTTTCATTCCTGATAACATTTTTTTCTCTAATGAATCTAAAAAGATGCTAATGGTAATTTCTTATGTACACCACCATTTTGTTTTCTAACATATACTATAAAGACTAACCTAAATAACAACCCTAACACACAATATAATAAAAAATATGTCATATAGTTAGTTTATAACACAAATACTAGAGACTAACATTTCAGAGTGTCTAAAAAACATTATATCTATGTTAACAGCAGGCAATGTAGGTTTTATAAAGAAAGTATGCCCACAGTGGAAGTGCTGTTGTTGTTAATATTTTGATGTTTGTTCATACTTTCCTTAAAAAAGTCAGAAAATGTTAATAGATTCCTCACCCACACAACAAAATATTGCACACACACACATAGAATGAAAAAAAGAAAGAAAAAATGAAAGCAGAATACAAGAAAATATTGACAAAGAAGAAAAAGTTTCTATACCTATATTTACAATCCCTGATGTTTGCGATACTTGGTTGTCATGGAGACAAACATGTATCATGTGCTAAAGGGAAAGTTTAGAATTCTAGGATTGGCCGCTAGAGTAAGAGGAGGAGAGAAAAAAGCAGGGTGGGCTGATATGAGACAATAACAGGTTTTGGTTTGTTTTTAAATTTTTATTATACTTACGGCACCACCAACTGTAAGCCAAGTAGCTGTTGATCTTTCGATAAAGGTTTTTGTTGAAGGGCCAGAGTACTAGAGTGCAAGCCATTAAAATGCTGACAATAAGCCCACTGGCAACAATCAAGTAGCACAGTAATAAATGCAAGATGACCCAGGTCTTCATTTTGCTTCCAAGTCCTGCCATAGTGATCCTGTCCAAAATAAATTGTGGAAAAAAAAAAAAAAAAAAAATTATTTTTTTTCTTTTAAAAAGATGAGTTGACATGACAAAAATAAATAACTAAATAAAAATATTTAAAAAAAAAAAAAAAAAAAATTATTTTATCCCATCTATGAAAATAAAAAAAAACAAAGATAAAGTTATATTTTTAAAACAGTGCATGATATAGGGGTGGGGTGCATGTGTTTGAAAACTAACAGGACTGTGTATGTTCTCTGGCTGAAAGAATGATAAGCGAATTGTGTTATCATCTAACACTATATCTTGGGAGTATATAACTGTAATCTTAGCTTTCTGCAACCATTGCATTTTTTTATCACATGCGAGAATTGTGGCAGGACAAATCATGGCTGCTTCATCACAACAATGCACCTATTCACAATGCCCTGAGCATCCGGCAGTTCCTGGCCAAGAAGAACATTGCCGTACTGGAACAACCTTCCTATTCACCTGATCTTGCTCCATGTGACTTTTTTCTTTTCCCAAGCTCAAGAGAATCATCAAGGGGACCTGTGTAGGGACCAGCATGAGGGCCATAATGATGAAACCAAGGGGCATCCAAGAAGAAACCTTCCTGCAGTGCACAGAAGGATGGAAAAGTGCATTAGATTTGAGAGGGACTACATTGAAGGGGAAAACATATAGTTTGTTGTTTAGAATTGAAATAAATTGTTTGTGACACCATTCCCATTACTTTTCAGACAGACCATGTGTGTGTGTATATATATATATATATATATATATATATATATATATATATATATATATTTATTTGTTAAAGACAACTGACAAGTTACTGTTATTAAGCTTTTTATTTATTCTTTTTCTTGTGTTCATACAATTGTTTTCTTTCCTAGACACATTGTGTATAAAAACTGTCTAAAAGTTCTGCATATCAATTTTCTTTAACAAATTGTGTATGTGTGTGTACACACACACACACACACACACACACACACACACACACACTCTAAAGAATTAATGCATTTTATTTTTTAATGACATATTTTTATTACTTTAAACATTATTTTTAGTAGATACCCATATTTACATAGATGCTCCATTTATTTCAAACCGTATTTTGTCTACTGGCCTGCACACTCAAGAAAAACGTATTAAAGAAAATGTGCCTTCTAGCAGGATCCATAACTTAGCCACCCTTTGAAGGAGAAGCTGCCATGTAATCAGACATGGTTTGACCGCTTAGCTATGAAGAGCTTCATAATCCTGCCAGATGACACATTTTCTTTAATAAGTCTTCTCGAGTGTGAAGGCCAGGAAATGAAATAAAATACTGTTTAATATAAACAGAGTATCTACTCAAATACAGGTTATGTTATCCATAAAATTCAATGTAATAAAAATTTGTCAAATTAAAAAATAAAATCCATTTATTCTTAGGATATTACATTTTGGATATGAAACCGAGCAGTTACAACTTCTGAGAAAATCTGAATGAGTAAATGTGCAAATAGAACCAGTTTTGATCGTCAAGCCTTTCATAGCCAAGCTATCAAAGCACATCGGATTAAATGGGAAAGATTTATCCCTGTTTAGGATTGGGTTTCTAGTTGCTTCTAAAGTCTTCATTCTCTTTCATTCCCAGTAACTCTATTAGTAGCATTAATTGCCTTGCTTGGGATAAATTGATAGATTAAAAAAAAAAATTAACATTCGCATGCATGCATATATATATATAATTTATTTGAAAATTATAACAAATATGTTATAGTGATTTTATAACATAATTTTCGAATAAATTATATTTGCTCTACTCTGTATTGAGCACTCTTTGAAGAATAGTATTTTTTGGTTATTGGAATTTATTCCATATACACCAACCCTATGTTTGTGTGTGTGTGTGTGTGTGTATATATATATATGTATATGCACTAAATTTTTTTTTTTTTTTTTAAATGGTGTTATCCTATGAATAAACATCAGGCAGCTGACAGATTTTACTCAGGTCATCATTGTACTATATCAGGAGTAATTTTATTTGGTAAATATATATAAAAGAAAATAGGAAAACCTTTTATGCCAACATGTTTCATTGCTTGACAAAGTTTTTCAAGTCAAGTTTTATATAATTAATAGCTTTATTTATTTTAGGTATTTTGTTTTGTTAGCATATTTAATTTATTTACTTTAAAGGTAATGAGTTAACAGTTTACTAAAAAATATATATATAAAAGACAAATACGGGGTACGATGGATAAATTGTCATCTAAATTACACAAAAATGAAAATAACACCGACATCTCATTTTAACAGATATATTTTCCAAAATTATGCAAAAATATCTTGAAATATTAAAGAGTAAATTTATTCAATAAAATTGCCATTGGCTTCAACCAGTCTCCAGATGACTTTGGAATCTCCTGCAACTCTTCTGGACAATCTCCTTGTTTAAGTTGGTGAATGCTGCTATAATCCTTGCCTTCAGTTCATCTTTGATGTTACATGGAGTTTTGTTGCCCTCTCGCTCAACTGTGCCCCACAAATAATAATCGGGGGGGGTTGCAGTTGGTGAAATTAGGTGGCCAAATGTAAAAGGTGATGCAGTTGCAGAAATTGTCTGACAGCCATCATTGGGTTCTACTGCAAGTGTGGCATGGTGCAGAGTCCTGTTGTCAGACATAGGGTCTTCCAGCAGCCACTCTTGACCCAGTGCAGCATTACTCTTTCAAAGCACTTGATGTAGGCCTCTGTATCGAGTTTGAGGCCCTCACCAACAAATTCAAGAGTTCTTTTCTTATCAGAACAATAAGAGTGAGTTTTCCAAGCTGCTATACCTCGATAATCACCATTATAGCCAACTCTTTCTGAATCCTCTGCACTGTCCTCAGATCACGAAGTTAAGCAATGTTGAATACCAGGTGCTGTAACCTTGGATGTGTGAGTGGTGTAATGGATAATGGCTCAGAATGTGAATTCTGTGAGCTGAGTTCAAATTCCAGTCTTGTTTGTTTTATTTACTTACAAGCAAATGCCCTTGGGAAAGGTATGAATCCACCTCTTTTCCTCCCAGCCATAGCAATACTTTTATCAGAAAATCATTATCTCCAAAAAAAATTCTTATAATCCAAAAATATGTTTTGGCTTTAAATAACCTTAAAATGGTTGATAATCCATAAAAAAAAATCAAATCAATCAATCAAAAAATATCCTTATCAGGTGAGGGATCATTCCCAAGGAGAATAAATAAACTCTTCACCTTTAAGTTAAGGAGTATATTCACACAAGAATGCTCTTTCAAAATCAACTATATTTCATCTTGCAAAAGAAATTTTTCAAAGACATCAAATTAAATGGAATGGCTCCTAGCCTCTTTAGATATTAATCCAATAGAAAACCTGTAGTTCCTCATTAAAAAGATGTATATAAGAATAGAAAACAGTATTCAATTTCTTTTTAAAAGATATAGGTCACAACCAAGAAGCTTTAAGAAAAAGAGCGTAACTCCTGTGTTCTTGTGAGTGGGCCAATTCTGTGACAAACACAAGGTGAGACTTCAAAACAGGGTCCCTGTCAAAGAAAGAAAATGAACTCATTCCAGTAAATCAGGGAATGCATAGTGCACCTTTTCTCAATATCTGTGGGTGATACACTGCTTGCCACATGCATGAGTGCAATCTTTATGATACTATCATAAGGAGTGCACTCATACATGTGCACTTTTCACCCTGAAAATGGCCACCATTTAGCTTCAAGTAATTCATCACACCCTGATGATAGGATGTGATCCAAGGTCAAAAGGTTCTACGTGCGTACACACAGGCAGATTTTGTTCATGTGAAATAAAATTAAATTCTGTGGAAGGATACAACTTGTTAAGAATATTAGTTTTACTTTGTTGAAGGAATTTTTCCAAAGAAATAGTTTTTGTTTGAACACTTCACAAAATATTCTTTCTTAACATTGAGCAAGAGGAAAGTAACTTTCTGAATAGCTCTCTTGTGAGAAAATTGAATGGCTGATAATAGTGAACTCTTTCAGTAAGGTAGGACTCCTCAATAAAGTTAAAGAGACAAGAGATGTTTCAGTCAGTTGAAAAATCAACTGATTTTTTCACAACAGCATTATCTCTCTCCCTCTTCCCTGATTAATTGATTGATTTGTTTTTTTATGGCTTATCAACCTTTTGCATGTTATTTAAAATCAGAAAATACTTTCAATTTGTAAGAATTATTTGGAGATAATGATTTACTGGTACAAGTCCTACTAATTAACCCATAGCTGGGAGGAGAGTTAGTAGCTATATATAGTGAGTACAGGATATAACTGTGGGTTTGATTTGAGAATTACTAGCCTGCCACCCAGTACTAGCAGAGAGTTAAGGGTGATTTAAAATATTACCATAGACATATAGTAAATTTATATAAACTTTAGGTTTACATTTATAAATTAAGTCAAGTGGTTTTCCTAAGTGTTTTAGTGGAGTTCATTACACTTACATGATAGCCTATATACAATCAAGATTAACAAGAAAAACTTGTAATAATTAATATTGTAGGCTTTATTGGGTTTTCATCTTCGCCATAATCCAGTGTCAATGCCTGCCCCTGATTTCTCTCTATTTCCTGATCTCAAAACTTAGACATTTTGCAGTGATTTATCATAAACAAATATCAGCAGTGCTTTTAAATATTCACCAGAACCAACTGGTAAATCAAGAAATTCTTATACTTTATATATAAACCATTGTTATACACCAGCCTTGACCTTGCAGCTTTTCTATTAAAAATAGAAATGAAATCTCCAGCTTGGCTGTTTTGTTTTAACAAAAAGACAAACAATCAATTAACCCCTTAGCAGATCAATTTTTTTCAAGCTAAGATTTTGGAACATATTTTTTCTTTTATAAA